CCTGAACCTCAAAGGTGTGTAGGCAATAATGACATCCATTTAGGGCTGAGAACGCCAGTCTCTTATTCTAGTGCATTGACCAAACTATTAATCTCTGTGTTAATCACTATCCAATGCAAAAAGAACTTCTCTGCAAGAATTAAAAGATTCACTAATCCAAGTATGGCGTACAGGGCTGACTGAGGTCTTCTCTGTAAACAAAGGCTTACTACAGTAACCTTTAGGGTAGCCGTTTGTAATGGAGATAGAAGATGAAGCCTAAGATATTGGTGAAGGCCTGGAATACCACTCCCAGAGGATGAGACAGGAATACCGTCTCAAGTTCAAAGCCAACCTGGGCTTTATAAGGAGAGTACCTCAAAAAAGATAGAAAGAACAGGCCATGGTGGCACATGCCTTTAATCCCAGCACTCAGGAGGCAGAGGCAGGTAGATATCTGTGAGTTCAAGGCCAGCCTGGTCTGTTCCAGGACAGACTCCAAAACCCTGTCTCCAAAAACAAGAGAGAGAGAGAACAACTCTACCCAAACATCTGGCTACATAAAGAATCAGACATAATAACACAGTAACCAACACAATAGCACAATCTCCACTTCCAAGAGACAGTCACCAAACCATCCAGAAGATGAGGGCAAGTCAACAGGTAATACCCATAGAGCTGTTCAAGAGAAAGTGAGCAAAGAGGAAGAATGGGAACCTTATGCTGGGCATGAGGCTCCCATAGAAACACTGGACACCCTGGGTGGTCCAGGTTCATCCATACTTGTGTCTTTTCACTGTGCTTGCACTGGTGAGATTGAATTTAAGCCACAAGAAACAGTTAATGATTACTGATAGTGGGATGAACTTTGTCCCAGTGGAGAAGGCAGGCTTAGTTTTCATTCTGCACCCTTTTTTTTTTGTTGTTGTTGTTTAATTTGTTATTGCTGTTGTTTTGTTTGAGTCAGAATCAAACAGACTGGCCTTTAACTTCTCTGGGCCTCCTGTCTCCACCTTCCAAATGCTAGGATGACAGGTATGTAT